TCCACTCCCCTCTGCTATCAGTAGAAGTCAAACTGCAATGTGCAAGCCAAAGTTCAACTCCTTGGTACGCATCGGCATACTCTCCATCTAGTATTGTTACAGACATTAAATCAAGGATGTCTGAAACACACAAGTGTTTAGAAGAAGTAAAATTCTAACAGGAGGACCTTCACGGTGACCAAGGACAGGAGAATAAAACGAGAACAGATATTGAAAAGTGATTAACAATGGTGAGAACTGGATTGACCTTGCTTAGAATCAGGTAAAATGGACAGTTCTTCGGTGGCGGTGATGAAATCCAGCTTCATATTGCTAAGCAAGAAATTATTTCACCAGATTTGGAAAGTTCAAGGTATTTATATTCAGCCACAAACAGGGAAGTACAAATTCCAAGAAAATCAACAGTCTCCAATTCCAGATTCACACCTGCCAATATTACGCATCCTCATCCGCGCTTCTGGAGGCATCTCCTCAGGTTCTTCCTCTTCGTCCAAATTAAACGCAGCCGCCACTGTGCTGGACTGCGATTTAACAGCACCACTTTGATGAATAGGTTTCTGAACAAGAAGACAATAACGTAGTCACAATTTCATTAATATATTCAACAAAACTCAATACTGTAATCTAAAATACTGTTACTATCTAACATATAATGTACATATTATTTAATCTTTGAATTCTGAGTCACCGCAAATTAAAATCTGACTGAAAAAAGAAAAGCATCACACATTTTTTATTTATTTATTTAGTGTTCTGTCTGACGACAGGTCCATATGAACAGGATCCTTCCATCCTTTTCTCGGACTGGGACCTGTTCATATACGTTCTTGGCAGATGATCCAGAAGTGGTTTGCCATTGCCTTCTTCTGTGTGTGAATGGAGTAATTGTTGGGATGCCACGGAGGAAAACTCCGTGTTGCCTAGACCACGGCCTTGCCCAACACAAGTTATAAATTTGGGCACCGCCGGGAATCGAACCCGAGACCCCAGGATTACAAAGCCAGCGTTCTAACCGCTAGACCACCGTGGCTAGTTCATCACACATTAGCACAATGCAATGTTCTACAATCAGGAGTAACTTTTACAAAAGACCAAAGATGATGACACGAAAGGGTTGAAACATTAATACGTATTGCCAACAAGGTTATGTGTGTGTATCACTATTTGAACCTTACACATAAACTTCTTAAGGTTCATGCAACAATATATTTTGAAAGAACACGTAGAAACAATGTTGTACTACATGTAATGACTTATGATAAATTTAATTATTTAATATTATATTATATTAATATTTTGTAATGTTTATTACCTGAGTTCCTAATTTTATCTGAATTCCCTTCTTAACTGATGTGTCGATGACTTTCTCTTCAGGCTTCATAAGGGATTTCTTTACATAACCAAAAGAAAGTTTCTGTTTCTTCCCGCTGTCATCCTTTCCTGCCGTGTCATCCGGACTCTGATCGGATTCCGATCCATTATGGGAAGACCCTGAGCAAGGTGAAACACTGGCAAAGTTGAGATGATGTCACAATTAGCCTCAACCTCAATCCTTTACAACACATTCCTACACTTCAATGAGAGGCTTTGCATATCCTAATTTAAATATTATGTAAGTACCACACTTGCTCAAACATGAAATGCACTTGTTTTTCCTCAAAATTTCTTCCAAAAGTGACGGCACAGAAAGTGCGATCAGTTCCGCCATGCATTTCACTAAAAGCTAAAACAAGTCGTTCCTAGAATAATTCATAAAGCTTATTTTCCAACCGCACAAGTCCACCAAATCTTGCGCAGTTTTTATTATATTCATGTGATATATTTTTATAATGAGTTAATAAAAGTTATTTTGTTGCTGTGTTACTTTTGTTTTGTTATTGTTATTTTATATTATTTTTGGGATGAAGTATCTCAATGTTTCATACTGTAGCAAGTAAAATTCTGCATGGCCAACATGTAACTCCTAAAAGCTATGTGAAATCTGCGGTTCTCATAGCATCACAACCGTAAAAATAACATCAACTACAAAGAGGTGTTCTGACAGGAGTTGATATACATCATTTCTGGACCCTCTGTTAAATGGTGCTACTTTTGCTCCCACCTCACAAGTTTGTGTCTCCCCATGCTGTTAATACTGATTGTATAAAACGACAAAGTACAAGGTTTGAGTGGCTTCCAACACCACAAATGCATACAAAATTCAGGTGAAACTCAATCAACTTTCAATATGAAATGAATATCAAGGACCAGCCTACAAATAAATTACTTGTTGTCAGTAAAGCAAGTATTTGTATTTTAGTAAGAACTGTATAAAATTATAGCCCTTAACATAGTAACATGTTAACAAAAAAAGAGATCAGTCCAAATTAGTTGACAAATTAATGTCATACATATACAACTGCCGATATCATGAATATCTGCTTGTTCATGTTGGTAACATATAGTTTATATTTTTAGTTCAATATATAAATAAGGATCAAAGCCTTATCATATGTATAAAATCGACATACATATCAAAATAACAAGAAAAGGTACGTGTTTCAAATTCTCGGTACAATATTTTGAAGCACAGTAAATTTTCTCTCTTACTGCTGCTCATCTGACTGGATGGACCTTCAATCAGTACCAACAAATGAGAAGGTTACAATGCATTTAGCAACTGTAAGAACTTTGAATTTTAAATAAATAGTAATGTAACAGAAACATTCCAACATACCTAACCAAAGTTATACGATTCTGATAATATTTCCATCATTTTTACAATAGTGACGAACATAAAGAAGGCGACTGTTATTGACGAATTTTAAAATTAAAAACAATTTCAACTGCAATTAAAGCCAGCCAGCTCTAAAGCCCAAATAGATTGGTCTTGAAGCAAAAAATAATTCATTCTAAACCTGATTCACAACTTACTTGTAGAAACATATATTACTATATGCACTTCAATAGCAACAGAAGGCTGTTGCTTTTACCACATGCAAATTTAAAAGGACCCACACTCAAACATGTATATATAAATGTACTCAGCCCGCAAGAAACGGGAGAATTTATACCATTCCATTCATTGGAAACGTATATAAAAACCACCGATATTAGACATACATATTTAAAAATAGGATTTAAACTGTATAACGTCTACAAACTGGTAGTTTGCACTATAGTATTGAGGTTTGTAATATGCTCCAAAGTTATAGCTCAGATAGACTGGTATATCCCTTAAAATATCGTTTCAACAAGTATTAAGATTGCCACCTTTCTTAAATCCACCTAATGAACTCCTCTTCGACATGCTATATCGACAAATTATACAAACATATAACTTCAATTACAAACGTTCCAACTAGGCGTTTGCATCAATACACACATGAATAATGTCACAGATGACGAAACGTCATCCGGTAGCTCTTTCGTTGGTTTGTAATTTTGTTTCATGGCCAACAAGTTTATTATATTCGACCTGTGAATCGAGGAATATCGTCGTTTAAATATTATGTCTAATGAGGACAAATGGAAACTATCCCCACTGATCTAAAGGTATGAGGAGCAACTGCCACCATAATAATATCATAGTTTTATATATATCCCATTCAATACGTTTTCCGCATATGAAACTATCCTATCTAAAATTGGAAATCTTAAGAGCACGTGAACATTTCAGTGTCAGATTATATTTCCTGCAGAAATGAATAAGAATCAAAGCAGACTTTCCCATACCCACTAAAAGGCGGAGGAAGAAGGAAAATGATGTCTTGTGCAAGTTTTACGTCATGGAGCCTATAATAAACAAACTGACCGCACAGAGCTTAAACACAGTACAAGGCTTCCACCAAAGGAGTGTTATCGAAGGGAATCTTCCGAACGCCAACTACCGCTGTTACCTTAGAACGTTGGTATTATCTGTGGTGTTGAGTGTGGAGGTTCATGTTATTGACTGCGTTTGGTGTAACAGTGTCATCCAAGGCTTAGTAGTTCGTACAGAAACTTTACTTATCGCATTGATGATGGAGGCAGCAAGGACCTCTACAACCCAGAAAACAGCTATCCTATCGGATTCACCGCCGTGAAAACCTTCAATCCTTACAGAAATTTTACCATGCACATGGGAAGGTTACTATAGCATTCACAATCTAACATATAAGGGACATCCGGAAAACCCAGCAGAGGGATATCCTACCTGGGGCCCATACCAGGTCGCACGTACGAAGCAGAACATTCTACCTTTGAAAACCAAGACTGGAACAGCGAGCTGTGTATACTTCTGGCTAAACTCCCATCCAAAGGATATACTGGATTCACCAAGGCAGATTTTCAGTAAAATATTCACTCTAGCCACTGTTGCACGTAAGCAACTGCTGAGCTGACAAAAGAACAAGAACAGTGACATAGTACACTTGTTAAAAAAACCACCCTACTGAACCAGAAGCTAATAAGAGCCATCACAATACTATTGATTAAACACTGAGTAGAAGCTGCCAGTGTGTTTAAACCGCAGAAAACTTTAAAGAAAACCAGATTAAAATTATACAAAACACTAGCTCTCCCTACTCTTTTGTATGGTAGTGAAAACTGGACAATCAGAGCAACAGATGCAGCAGAAATGAAATACATGAGAAAAACAGCAGGTTACAATTGGATGGATTACAAAACTAATACAGAAATTGTAGAGGAGTTGAATATAGTTCCAGTATTAGAAAAAATAGAAAATTATAAAACAAAATGGCTTGAACATGTAGACAGAATGGCAAGAAGCAGGCTACCCAAAATTTTAATAAATTATGTACCAAAAGGAAGAAGAAGTCGGGGAAGACCTCTGAAGAGGCTTCTGGAAAAGTGAAGCCGGAACAGGCCAACAAATGGCCTAACTCCATGAAAGCTACATGATGATGATACAAGCTGCCAACAATGCCAATTTCTTAGAAAAATTAAGAGAAGGATAAATAATGTGACTCAACATTACACAATCTACAGTCAACAATAATATCTAAAGAATTGTCATTGTAGTTTCTATAAAGCAACAATTTGTTACCCACTTCAGTTTGTCGTGTTCTGCATTTGTGCTGCTCTCTATGGGGAAAAATTATTTAACTCACTAATTCATGACAACACCTGTACTACTTGCTGCCGAGAGGAACCGAGTAAAATTTCCATGAAGCCGTGCTATGATCGGTGCTTGTATCTTGCAACCAGCTAACAAAATATTTGATTCCTTGAACTTTATGCCAGGGAGGTATTAACCTGTAACACGTAATTCTTTCAAAATTCTGAAATTATAGTTTACTGAACTGAAATGCTAATAACCAACATTACTTTCAAGGGTAGAAATACTTTGAATGCACATTGGTGTGGAGTAATATTCACATCCTGGATGCCAAAGAAACAGACGATCTTTAAATATACATGGTGTCTACAATGAAATGCCCAGTCATATTCTCAGGAAGCAAGGAATAGAGATATGACCTATTTATTGACAAATATCAGTCACACAACACATCAAGTTTAATTAAAAGATATCAATGCACTTGTACATGAGCACTGTTGGTCTTCGTCTTATTTGATCAGAGTATGTGTCGAGCATTAAATAAAACTTATCACAAAACAATTTATTTTATTTGTAATTTATACAATTCAATTGATTTCACAGTTTCTTTTTGCGCAAGTCACCGCAAAATTTTAAAAAAGTTGCCAGATGATGGAGGCAGCAAAACCACTATCCTATCAGCCAGGTTCAGACAAGCACCGCTTCTGTGGTGGACGCCTCCTGCAATTTTTAAGGGAGGCTTCCACGACCAGCTGAGGTGGAGGGCATCCCCCATGTCTATGTTACGTTGTAGCCTGATCTCAGTTCCCTCCCTGACCATTTGGTCCATGTTCGTAGATTTGGTGGCGAATGGCCCTGGTTTATGCTATTTGGCCACAGCAGATTTGTCTGTCTTGAACCTGATTTCAATAGAATAGCAGGTCTGCTCAATTTAGATTTGACCACATTTTCAGGGCACAATGTATATACCAGGAGTCTCCGAGTCCCAAGAAGTCTTTCAAAGACCACATGACAATGGGACTCTTCCTTGGATGGAGATCCACAGACATCCTACTGACGTTACTGAAGGTCACGGTGACAGAGGAGGAAGGCAGCTGAAGTAGGTCTCTCCAGGGTTTGGAATGACTCTCTCCAGTAGATTGACACCCTGTTGGATCTGCCAGTTGCTACAGCCGTTCTGCCTGAAAGTGGCCCTGAGGCACTTCAGCTTATCACACAGGCTTTCGCAGTCGCAGAGCGTTCTGGCCCTGTGCACCGACGTTTTTGTTGGAAAGTTCTGTGACCCATGGCTGAGCTGGGTTGAGTTAGGCTGGCCACTTCCAGCTCCAACAAACGCTGTACACTCCATGTTGGTACACAGGACCACTTTCATGCAGAACAGCTCCAGTAACTGGCAGATACAGCAGGCTCGCCAAAGAGTAATCCCACACCAGGAGAATCCTGTGGAAGCTTCTCATCCTGTCCCTGAAGGAAGACAGGAAGCCCGAGCCACAGAAGCAGCAGTTATCCCACAATGACTGCTAAGTCAACTCAGAATGATCTGGTCCTAGCCAGTTCCTTCTTTCCTCTCCCACCCCTTCAAAATTTCCTGTCACCCCTGACAGGGGCTGTTTTTAAACGTCCTTGCATGTTGGACCCTTATCTGCATTTCCCCCTTATATCCCTTTAAAATGGCACATAGTTGTTCTTTTATTTTGAAGATCCTAGAACTGCCAGCAATGTTTCAGCAGATTCTAATTATTTTTTGTCACTTCAATGTTTTATTTTACGTGCTCCTTGTTCAGAAGGGTTGCCTCCAATATCATCTCAACCCATATGAATGTTTGTCAATTCATCGCTTTTTAAATGGCTGTCTACGCAGCTTCCTCTTGCGTGCCATTCTGTTAACATCTTTCTTCACTACAGTCTTTGAAGTAGAAGGTCCTGAAAAATTCTCTTCTAGATGTTGTCTGTGTAATGCCGTTCTTGCTCGTGTTTCTGGTATCCTCGATACATTTGTACGAGATGTAAGACGTCTTCTGTCAGTAGTTAACTGTACACCCCCTCTTGCTGGCATCTCTGGTGCTATGAACATATTTATCTGAGGTGTACATTCACTCTCCGTTGTCATCCTGTGTGAAGGTTTGTCAATTCGACACTTTTTAAATGGTATTACAGACTCTTCTGAATCTCTTTCCAGCTTCCTCTTGCATTCCATTCTGTTAACATCTTTCTTCACTACAGTCTTTGAAGTAGAAGGTCCTGAAGAATACTCTTCTAGTTCAGGTCTGTGTATTGCCCTTCTTGCTTGTCTTTTTGGCTTCTTCATTACATTTATATGAGGTGTATGATGTCCTCTCTTAGTAGTCACCTGTAGAGCCCTCCTTTTTGGTGTTAATTTCACCTGGTAACAACAAAATAGTCAGTTCTTTGTCATGTAATGTATTTTACAAGAATTTCTATCCCATAAGGCTCTTCTTCCCCATTTGAAAAGATTTGTTTATCAATAAACAAACATTAATTTGTATTTTATGCAGCCCATGGTGTAAGGTATAGTATGTCTAGCCTACGTGAACACTTCGATAATGGGTTCAAAACCCACTTGATGCAAAGTACAAGAAAGAAATTAAAATCCCCTATTGACTTTTATAATTTTTTAATTAATAGACTAAAATAATGGAAAAAAGCATTGTGACAGGGATATTCCTTGATACTTTCTATAGTCAGAAGAGTTGTTGATTAAACTGAAAACAATATTGACGATACCCAATAATTTCGTCTGTGATGGAGTATGTTCTTTAGAAGCACATGAGTTGAAATGTATATTACTAGACAATGGTAAAATTCTGGCAGGAGGTACAACACTGCATCCTGAGATCCAAAATAATATTAATTCTGTTCGGAATAAGGACTAATTAATTGTCACAGCAGGTAAAAGGGTCTGCATTTTCCAAACTATAAGACACATGAAAATAAAATGCAGAATTTTCCATGAAAAAAGTTGTCCTGTACTCTGGAAAATACATTTACAATAATGTTATAGACTGACTGTAAGAATTACCAAAGTACCACTTTCATCAACTACTGTTCATACAAAATGTTATCCAACAATCTTCTTTCAAGGTCAATTACATTGGGAGATGAAATTATTATTATTTTTTCTATTTTAATTTCTTGATTTTAATGTATGAAGTGAAGCTTTCGCGATGACTGAAGTTGATGAAAGACTCCCATCGGCGGGCGCGCTACATAGGACCGGTTTCGTATTGCAGCTGCCCTGAGGATGAGAGCAGAGATGGCTCTCGAAATGTTGGCAGCAGAAATGGTTCCTTTACCATTCAGCCACCTGACACGGCTTGTTGCCCAAGAGTCTTTCATCAGCTTTGTTCATCATGCTTTATTATTGCAACCTGCTGTGTTGTTATTGTTGCAAAGGGGGAGAATGACTGTGGGCAAATGTGACTGAGACGTTTCTGTAATCTGAATCTGTTAATCTACCATTTCTTTTGTCACACAGTTCTCTTTATATTATTGTGACAGTGAAGTGAAGACACTTGTATAAAAGGGAAAAAATGGCCAAAGTATGTTGCTGTTATTAAATAATTAATAACTGATCCCTTATTTTGTAATTTGCATTCTGAGAAATTAATGCAGCTCAAATATTATCACTTACCATATTTGGGCACTTCTGATAGGTTCCACTTGTAGAATTTCCATTAGGAATTAGTGCCTGAGACATGAATGAGTAACCCTGCAATACAAATTATAAATGTTACAGGTAAGAAAATTCAGGTGTACCATAACCAAGAATGCAGAAACTCTCCTACAGGCTAGCAAGGAAATAGGTCTAGAAGTAAATGTAGACAAAACGAAATACATGGGCGTAATACGGGATAAACAACAGCGGAACATAAGTATAAGAAACACATCATTTGAAAATGTTTAAAAATTTAAGTATCTAGGAACAATAACAAATAGAAATGAGGTATCATCATCATCATCCATTGCTGTTTCCAGCCTGGGGCCGGGTCCGCTTGGTAAAGCTCCTCCATCTCTTCTTCCACCAACTGCCACTGGGCGCACCTCTCCATTACTCCTCATTTTCTTCTGCTCCTCCCACCTTCTTCGTGGTCTCCTCCTCAAAAGGATGGAGTTGGCTTAGGATAATGGCTGGTGGCGGACTTTGGTGTTGTCAGTGTTGAACCTGTGGGCTCTGCTACCAGGGAGTTAGTTACTACATCATGATACTGTTACAAATGTTATATATCTAAGCCAGCAGCATCTTATGTGTCTAAAATGCTTCTAAGGTTTCACAGATTGTCAGAGATCCATTTGTAACTGAAATTTCCAATGTAAGAGGTGGGTCGTCTTACTAACATCGCCTTCAGTACCGAAAGATCTGCGTAGTGTGGACTGTTATCTTTGTAGTAGTTGGGTTTTATGACATTGTATTTCCAGGAATTAACAACCCTCATGGTATTGTTATCACTGTCTACAATTCTGTTAATATCTGCTGTTTGTGCCCATAAATCTTCTTGAACATGGCAGCGTAAATATTTAATCCCATTGTATGCACCATATCCTAGTTACAGTGTGCAATTATTAGCCAAGGTTTTGGGGCAATCACAACATTCATCATTACTATAACACCTTCAAGGCTATATAGACCTCAGTTTCTAACACCTGTTCTAAAGGTAGCAGAAATACCAGAAATAAACCCTGTTCTTACGCAATACATACTAAAATTGTTCTCACCCTGAGAGTGGTGTCACCCTTGCACAACAAAGTGATGGACGGCTGCAGGAAAATGTCCATGGTGCAATGTTTTTGAACGGTGCCAACACGGACCTCATTAAGACGTGGCACACGAGGCATAACCGTGGCTTTTCGTGCCACATCTGCCCAGTTGATGTCCTGTAGGATGAAGCACAAGCATTAATGGTACGGACCAGAATGCTGATTGCAGAGTAAAGTTTAGCAAGGTAGACGAGAGAACAAATCCTTTAGCTGTGGAGAAAGTACAAGGTTTTTGAAGTGAAGTCTTCTGTTGGTCTGTGCTTCTAAGTTATTTAATAACACTGCATCTACTACAAAGGCTGTCTGAGGGCAAGGTTTCAACTACGTTCTTGGTAAATTTACACTTGTTATACACAAGTTGTTCCACACATTTTTTACTTCCTGAAGTTAGAACAGAATCAAGTCGTCTAGAAACAGTGTTGTTCGTCTCAAACTGATTTGATTTTCTTCATACATTACATGGAGAAGACAGATTAGAACCGAAACATTAAAACAATTACAGGTAGGACTCGGTTTACGCCAGGGTTAGGTTCCTGATATTTCCGGCATAAATTGAAGCAAAAATATAATGGGATCATGTGTAAATACATTAGGTCACGTTCCAAGATTTTCAGTAATCGACACAAAATACTTGAAAAATTAATAATTTTATGAAATTTACGTATTGAAAATTGTATAATGTTTAAGATAATAATATTTAAGAAAAAGAAAGAAAAATGACTGCTTTAAAAATGACAGAATGGATGTCTGTTTGGTTTTCCTCTTTTCTTACAATAAGTTATAGTATGGCTGTAGAACTGTATCAATCCCTCTCTTAACTGTTGAGCTCTGCTCCCAGATGGGGTCATTGCTACACAAGATGTCACATTCCTTATTCATAAGAGCAATAGCCTCTTGCATTGATTTCACTGTTAGTGTCACATTTTAAATTCCATTTTATGTTTAATTTTTTTAAATTTTAGGTCGTAGTTTATCATTTAGTATCATAGTTTTATTACAATGTCGGGACCATCTGTGTCTAGGAAGTTGGGCAGAATCATGACTCATCACCCCCTCCAATCGTGATCTATGAGAGGCGCAAAAGTGAAGCGGGCGTAAACCGAGTCCTACCTGTACTGTATGATAACAGGTATGAAAAAAGAGCTCACACAAAGAAATGGATGCCTCTTCACCTTCCAAATATCATCTTTTCCTCCACCTAAACGTTTTCTTGGATCTTGATCTAATAATCTGGTGATAAAATCCACGACTTCCGGGGAAAAGTGCTTTGGCATCACCGGTGTACGATACCGAACCCGACTAAAAAAGAAAGGTCCATTCTTGTACTTGCCATTAATAACATAAATATTAAATATGCATTAAAATTTGTGTTTATAATGCCTTTCAGAGTTATTATAAATGACTTATGTGTCTAATTTGCATGGAGATCTCTGAAGTAGGTAATACAAGAGATAGCAATGGCTTGTATATTGTTTCCTTGCATAAGGTTAAGGACTTACAAATGTGGCTTTGTCATGTCTTTTTGGTTGACAACTGTAAACGGCATGGATCCAGTCAGCATCTCATATGTCAATATGCCAATACTCCACCAATCCACAGCCTGTAACAATTCAAATTAGGGCCAAAAGCTGCAGTAAGTCATTTTAATTTCTTCACAAGTCTCTCCAGAAACAGAAAATCTGTGGTGTGAACAGACTGTTGTTCATTTCTTGTCTCTAGGTTTATATGGAAGATCCCTATTTATGAAAAGTATTCTTTCTTCATTTATCTAGTTCACACAGCTATCAGTCTGATTCATAGCAAGAGACTATGCTGAGTTTTCTTATGGATTTCCTCATGAATGCTGGGTCAGGAAAATAAAAACCGCCATCATTTATAATTCACATTATATAACATCAAGAGTTGAATCAGGTTAATTAACAAATGCCATTAAAATCTATTGCGCAAATCTAAAAATATTACATGTGGACAGACAGACATGGTGACGCAAATAAGGGCATTTTTGCAAGGTTTAGATATGAACCTTGATTTCTGTATTTTTCAGTTTGTATGTTTCGAACTGCTGTGAGTTCAGCAGTACTTTGTAATACAAGTTACTGTAAATGTTCCTCTTTATTTTCTAAAGCTGTTTATATAGCACATTTAATCTTTAAAAACCAACCTGTACTTAAGTCATTAATATTTTTATTTTTGTTTGTGGGAATAATGCAGCAAAAATAGATACAAAAAGCTAATTTGTTGTTTGTTTGGGGGGGACATGAAAAGACAGATTGAAGAAAACTTCTTGCAAATTTCCGGGCCTCTCCATTACTTGTAATTTAAATTACATTTTCAGACAAATATGTATTAATCATCAGACCAGATGGCAGGCAGGTGACCGTACCAAATTCATTTCAAAAGTTCTACCTCCTGTAATGTGCACTGACTAAATTAATCATGTCATTATGAACTATCTGTGGTTACATATCCTCAGATTATTATACTGTGATACTTTATTTGTTTACATTAATCATACTGTTGGTTAAATTACACAAAATAGATTATTTTCACACTAGAAGAGTGCTTGCAATGTTACTACAGGGAAATTCAACAAATACTTTCATTTCTTATAAATCTTTATTTCCAAAAGAATTATCATAGGCTTGATCATTCAACATGTATCATTTAATAAATAAAAAAAAATTATTATCCCTAAACCCAACATATACACCAAGACTCGAACCCAGGGCACTTTTTCAGGGTTTGGGCCTCTGTTCCTGTAATTTCCTTGCCAAAACAAACCCTGGTCTTCATATTGTTCTATCATGCTAAGTTTCTGAGCTACAAAAACCATCTTCACCAGGAATCAAACCCAGGATATATTCTGGGGTTGTAGCTTAAATTCAAGACATTTTTTGGAGTTTTAACCTTTCTGTAATCTCTTCGTGGTATCAAGGAATAAGCATGCCGAGTCTGGTGAAAATCAGTTTATCTGTTCTCAAGCTGCAAGTGAACATACATACATGCCCACAATTTCAATTTAAGACTGTCAAGGTATAAGATACTTAACTTGCTGTAGCCTCTGCCGCTGAACATCTCAGGAGCCAAATATCCCTCAGTTCCGCAGAAAGAGTAGGCCTGTTGATGAAAACAACATTTTAAATGTATGATTTGAGGTTTTCACAGCGGTGAGTATGAAGATTTCTGTCTTCTGGGTTGTTGCGCTGTGTAGTCTGGTCGATGTTAACCAACGTTTCAGAGGTCATACTGCCTCTGTCCTCAGAGTTTGAAGATTTCCGTCTTCTGGGTTGTTGCGCTGTGTAGTCTGGTCGATGTTAACCAACGTTTCAGAGGTCATACTGCCTCCGTCATCAGGGCGATGAATATGACCTCTAAAACGTTGGTAAACATCGACCAGACTACACAGCGCAACAACCCAGAAGACAGAAATCTTCATACTAAGAATCGCCCTGATAACGGAGG